CGAAAACTATTTTTTCAAATTAATTTACAATACAAAAATTTCATTCTGCCCCCTATCTTAACACAAGAAAGATAATTTTATTCAGCATTTAATTTTATTCATTAATAACAAAATCACGTAGGTACATAAAAACTAAACATTTTATTTTATAAAAATCGATGAAAAATTAAGGAGTTTATAAAAATATTTCATGTTTTTACCATACAATTACTTGCATGTTTCTCGTTTTTTTTTTTAATTTTCAAAAATGTTTATACTAATTTTTATAAAATGTAATAAATTTATTTAAAGATATATTAACTTTTCTTAAATAGTTATATATTTTTAAAGAAGTTCTTGAAATAAAAACTAATAAAAAACAAGTAGGAAAGTATAGTCGGGCATGGTCGACCATATAATATCCTACACCATGATTATATTTTTTAAATTTTTATTTTTCATAAAAAAACTTTTATATTGAATTTTACCTTAATTCCAAAGTATTTAAGCAAGTTATTGATAAAAATCAAAATTTTCTAAATGAGGCTTTATATAGGAGTATAGGTCAAATATGGGCCAATCCTTATTAAATTTGGGAAAAGGATATATTTTTAAATAACAGTTAGTTTTGTTTCATTGCGATACAAACGGTTACAAGTCAATTTTAGACGTCTAAGACATTTTTTGAAGAGGGGTTTGTATGGGGGCTAGGGTCAAATAAGGGCCGATCATTACGGAAATCTGCAGTGTCATTTATACTTATATAAAACTTATTTGTGTTAATTTTTAGAGAGATAATAGTATATTTGACGTAATTATGGCATAAAAAGCCAAAATCGGGAGGTACGGTTGTATGGGGGCTTGGTGAAATAATGGACCGAATTTGGGCTTCGTCCCTGTGCCCAAAAACATGCTTGGTCCAAGTTTCATCAAATTATCTTGAAAATTGCGGCCTGTACCTTGCGCACAAGGTTTAGATGGACAGCCAGCCAGCCGGACAGACGGACGGACATGTCTTAATCGACTCAAAAAATGATTCTGAATAGATCGGTATACTTTAAGGTGAGTGTAGGACCAATATTTTTGTACACCACTATAGTGGTGTACAAAAATATTTGTCGGGAGTTATGAGTATATCTAAAATGTGATTTCTTTTTTAATAAAGCATTTATATAGAAATTTGTCCACTACTTTTAAAGCAATTTATTGATGAAAAACTGATTTTCTGAAAGAGCCTATATATGGGAGCTAGGATCAATTATAGACCGATCCCAACAAAATTTAGTGGAGGGATTTATGTTCATATAGGAGTTAGATATGCAGAATTTTATGATAATGGTAGTGTTTAAGAGGGAAATAACGGCAAGCCACAATTAAAGGCTCCGATTTAATCCATCTTCAAACAACTTCGTCCTTTGGTAAAATGAAATATTTGAGCCTATTTTCATCAAATTATCTGGAAAATTGCGATTTGTAGTTTGACAACAAGGTTTACATGGACTGGCAGTAGGACGGACATAGCTAAACCACTATATTGCTGTAGGATATATGTAGTTAACTTTCTTTTATTTTGAAAGGAAGTTGGATCTGAAATGGTTTATAACTGAAAAAATTAAAAGGATTTCTGTTTTATATAGTTCATTAAAAAAATTTTTTAGACTGTTTTTCCTGGCAAATTAATTGTTTGTTGTGAGAACGGTTGGTAAATACTTGAACATTTTTAAATATCTATAAAATAGGTGTTTTTGCATAAAAGTGAGAATTTTAAAAGCTAATAGTTCATATAATTCAATGTACTTTATTCCAGTATAGCCACAATTTTAGATTTTGGGGAAGGATCCGAGATATCAGAAAAAATTTTCTAAGAGTGAAATATAGCTACAGTCAAGCCATAAATATTGATATATGACATGTTACGATCGGACTTAAAATGGCGGCGTAATATATAAAAAACAAAAAGGGCGGTATTTCTAGGCGTGGCAAAAAAATATTTTTTATATTTTTGGAAATGTTATTAACATATCTTTAATCCTAGGGGGTGACTGACACAACTTTTTTTTGTCCGACCCACTCTAGCGCACACTCAAATCTGTCAAACTAATATGGCTAGTATTAATGATATTTTTATTTGCGCTGAGTTTTTCCTAGCAGCAATTAAATTTTGTTTTGCAACTGCTAGCTGCAAATTTATTTATTGTTTTCTTATATTTTATTTTATGAATAAACAGTGTTACCACAATCTCTAATTAAGGATAATTATTTTTCGCAACATAAAAAATAGTTTGTAAAATATACATAGTGGCACCTCCCATATGAATTAAATACAGAAATCGTTTTTCTCGGAAACTATTAGAGTCAGAATCTTCTAATTTTGACGAAAAACTTTAACTTCATTATGAACATTGGGAAAAAAATGGGCAGACTTTTATTAGGGGGCTTGGAACCTCCATATGTATTAAATAAATATGTATATGTTATTGAAAATATGGCTACCCCATAAAACACAACTCAAATTAAAAGCGTTTAGATGTTTTTATTATTTTGTTCTAATGAATAAACATTTTTGAGCAATGTAGTTGTAAGATAATATTCTTATACTTATAACAATTTTATAACCAAATGATAGTTTTAAAAATTTTTTGTTGTAGAAATTAATAAATTTATAATCACATTGTATAAAAACAGGGTGAACACATAATTAAAATATTTTTGTTGAATTTAATGAGCTTACTTTACAATTATTCAAATCACACTGCTAAAAGGGGGAAGAGGAGGAGAGAGGGGGGGAAGAAAGGGAGGGAAGAGGAGGGGGGAAAACAGGAAGGAAAAAAAAAAAACAAAGAGCAAGGAGGAGGGGCGGGAGGGAGGAGAGCAGACAGAAACGAGGAGGAGAGGGAAACGAGAGGGGAAGAAGGAAGAGGGCAAGCAGGACAGGAGAGGAGAGGGCGAAGAGCAGCGAGAGAGGAGGAGAAGAAAGAGACAGAGACAGACAGACAGACAGACAGCAGACAGACAGACAGACAGACAGACAGGCAGACAGACAACAGACAGACACAGACATACAGACGACAGACAGACAGACAGACAGACAACAGACAGACAGACAGAAGACAGACGACAGACAGACAGACAGACAGACAGACAGACATACAGACATACATACAGACATACATACATACATACATACATACATACATACATACAGACATACATACATACATACATACAGACATACAGACATACATACATACATACATACATACATACATACATACATACATACATACATACATACATACATACATACATACATACATACATACATACATACATACATACATACATACATACATACATACATACATACATACATACATACATACATACATACATACATACATACATACATACATACATACATACATACATACATACATACATACATACATACATACATACATACATGCGTACATACATACATGCGTACAAATGTGAAGTGTAATATTGAATTTAAGCTCATGAAATGTCATAAAACTGTGAATATTGCCAAAAAAATAATAAATAAAACTACAACTGGCAGTAGCAAAACCAAAATAAAGTTACATTGCTGCTAGGAAAAACTAAACGCAAACAAAAATAACATCAATACTCGCCATATTAGTTTAACAAATTTGAGTGTGCGCTGCTAAAGCACAAAAATATATTTGTGTTGGCCTGCAATTATGTCTGCCTGCTACTAGAAATTGCAAACACGAGTTGCAATTTTTATATTAATACGAATATATATGACTGCAATTTTTAGTAGCAAAGTGATACAAAAATGATAAAGTTTCATATTTATTTTATAGTCATATACAAGAGAGGTGGTGCTAGTGCTGCATATTTAAACGCTGTTAAAAAGCTTTTATACACTAACACTTCTAAAGAAAATCTTACTAATACATATTCAGAGTTAGGTTTTTTTGACAGCTGAGTTAGGTTTTTTCCAGGAGAGTTGGCCTTCTAAGGTAATATTCTATGGTAGGGAACTTTCAAATGAAATTGAGAAAATTACAAATGATTTTGAAAAAATTTTAATTTTTAGTTTTCATTTTTAACTGAAAAGTTACTCCAGACCATGACTTAAGCTGCTCTATGTCTCTATGGACCTCTGCAATACTCAGAATTATGACTGCTCTTTACTAAATTTTTCATAGTAGAGATTTTCATGTCTGATCCTTAGATATTTAGTTCAGATTTAACGGAGAACAGAATATTTCCTCATTAGGTGGGATTGAACACAATATTAGTGGATCAGATATGAAAAACTTTACTGTGAGTAGGCTAGTGAATATCAGTCATAATCCTGAGTAATGTAGAAGTACATGGATGTATAGAGGAACTTCAATCATTGTCTGTAATAACTTTCAAGACTCTTATATTGAACTCATTTGACAAATAACAGAGAAAGTGGACCGAATGTGCAATGTAATAATATAATATTCCAAGCAATTTTGTTGGATTTACACGGAACTCCTCTGTGAACATATGTAGCTTGATGTTATTGTTGTAAAAAATTACAGCGATTCTTTTCTTGTTATTTTTTGCGTTATACTGTCTAACTTATATCGGAAAAGTACGTACATACTTTACGGCATTTAAATTATTTTCTTAAGTTATCATATTTTAAGTCACTTACCGTATATGATATGCTATAGATTAAGGGCTTAAAATTAATAGAAATTTTAAATTTTTCAAAAGCTCAATACTTTTTATAAATCCTATAATGTAATTTGGGAAGAAGCAAATCCCTGTAACGTCAAAAATTCTATTTTTTTCAGATCCAAATGAAAAAATCATTAACTAGAGCTTTTATAAATGTCTCCAAAATAAAAGAAATATTTTAACAAATATTTTCTTCTATTATTAATTAAAAATGTATTTTCCAAAAACAATGCACAACGTACATATGTATATCAAAATACAACCTCACAGTCGAAGATTTAAATGGCATTATAAATTTTAATGAATAAATTAATTACCTTAAACCATTACCATCGTCCCAGAAGTAATATTTTGTATTCATATTTTTGAAATCTAATATAGCATTCTCGCCTCTACGTATGATTTTATCCCATAAAACAACTTGATTTAGTACATTATCTTCAGTGCTATATTCCGCTGTAAGAAAGAGGAACAACTGCTTTACATTCCAATTAAAGAGACTTGTCAAGTTAGTTTCCAAATCAAATGTGATAAATCCTAAGTCGTGTTTTTCTCTCAAGGCGCCATAATCTGGAACATTTTTTCTAAAAGATAGAATACATAAATTATTTCCAATTCTGCAAATTTATTTTACATTTTGAAGATATCGTACGTTAAGTGTATTATAGATCCATTTTTTTATTTAGTACCACAAAATTTATTATGATAACAAAAATGTAATTTTTGAGATGTTAATTATACCCTTCACCTTCGTGAGAAGGGTATATATAAGTTTGTCATTCCGTTTGTAATTTCTATAATATAATTTTCCGACCCTATAAAGTATATATATTCTGGATCCTTATAGATAGCGGAGTCGATTAAGCCATGTCCGTCTGTCTGTCTGTCTGTCTGTATGTCTGTCCGTCTGTCTGTCTGTTGAAATCAGTTTTTAGAGGACCCCAGATATCGGCGAGATCCGAATCTTCAATAATTCTGTTAGACATGCTTTCGAGAAGATCGCTATTTAAAATCAGCAAAATCGGTCCATAAATGACGGAGATATAAGCAAAAATCCGAGACAACCTCTGAAAATTTCATTAAAAAAGACAATTTTTTCATGCTTTGATTAATAAGCAACAACAACAACACTGCTTATTCATTGAGTATTTCGTTTCACATGTTTGGATGCTGTGTGTTTCATTGGCATGTGTATATTGTTTTTGTTTCTTGGTGTATTCAGTTTTGTATGTTTGGATGGCTGTGTGTTTCATTGCCTTGTGTATATTGTTTTTGTTTGTTGGAGTACAGTTTCGTTTGTTGGTTTTACTGCCTTGTGTATTTTGTTTTTTGAGTGTTTATTTCGTTTAGCGTTGTTGTTGTTCATTTTGTTTTGCTATTGCTATAATAATGATATAATCGGGAAAATTAAATAGGTACATAAATTTAAATTTTATAAAATTTATATTTTTTAAATACACTATGGTGAAGGGTATATAAGATTCGGCACAGCCGAATATAGCACTCTTACTTGTTTTTTTGTAGTTTTATTATAAAACAAACTTCCAAAATAGTTGAAGGCATTTGTATTTTATGTCAGAATGTAAAATATAAATTTTTAAAAATATGTTTTTTATTGTGGGAGAATCCATGTGAAAGCGGACAGCAGTCGGATTTCTATATCCGATTTTAATTAAACTTACCACACATATAATATGTTGCAAGTATCATTGACTTTTCGAATTAAAACTCATTCCAATGTAAAAATATCGCGATTTGAAAATTGAAAAATGTGTTAAAATTTCCTCAAAGTACATACACATAATTGGCCATAACTCTGAAACTACTTAAAGTCCATCATAATTTTTGATTTCATATTAAAGCCAAAGATATTGCCTGTAAATAGAATAATTTATAAAGATCCACTTTCATAGTATATATTTCAATGTCCAATAGGTCAGACAGCCCCGCGTTAAAAATTATAAAAATACATGGTGTTCAAGTTCGATTTATGGTTTACACTTGTTTTGATAACATATGCAAATACTATTTTTTGCAACGTTAGAATCTTATTAAGCTCCGCTTTATTTACAACTTTGTTGGAAAATTCTAACGAGTAAACCGTTAACGGTACCTAAATATTGTTTGCCACCAATCTACGTTTTGTAAATTAAAAAACACTTCTTTTCTGATCGTCAACATAAGCACTACGTGCTCTTGGCGTTATTGCTTCTACGAGGTAAAATAATAATAATAAATAAATACAGAGAGATCTACGTCTCATTAAATTTGCAAATATTTTGTTTTATTTTCATAAAATCTTGGGAAATTGTGGTGGAGCTGAACATTTGGTCCTTCGAGCCGGATTTTTGTGTATCATATACGGATTTTTGGCATCTTCACTCCATCATCCCTTGGAAAACATACAGTCCACCGAAGATATATTATTTATTAATTTTTGCGAAATTTCTACGAAATAAGGTACGTAAATATATTTCAATTGTGAGCAAGTGATAAAAAATTCTATAGTTGTTTCGCGATCACACACACATATTTTTTGTGATTTTTCAATTGGTTTAACTTGTTGTATTTGTGGATATTTTGCACTAATTTTAACTTTAATTTATATCAAAAAATATTTAAATTCTTTTGATCTTACGGACAATAATTTAAAGCGATATTGTTGATCTTATTTTATTATAAATTAGTGTTTCATTACATTTTCTTTTGTGCGTTTGTTTGTTTACAGATTTACATCTGTAAATTCTACCAACAAAATACATTACGGTGTATTCTTGTTCTTCCCTTATATTGGGTACCCTACGGTCGGTCAGTTTGACTATTATCAAGTTTGTTGATATAAATTTTGTAGTCAATTCGTAGTTTAATATCGAGTTATTAATTCATCTATTTTTATTACAATTTTTAAATATTAAAAATGTCGGTCACGTCACTAAATGCGTTTATTAGAGCATCGGATGCTCTCGTTGCATACCGCGTGAGGTTTGATAATTTAGATGATGAATTGCATGACGTTTTTAAGTTGGAGATTCGGAAACGGGAGTTAGAAAGACTTTGGGACAAAGTTAATTCGACGTACGAAGTATGTCTTAACACTCTAGAGTCTAGTGAATTTAAAGTGGTAGCGGAAAAATATCAAGCCACATCTTATGAATATATTGAATGTGGAGGATCTATTTCTAAGAAAATAAGAACATTGGAATCCGCTTCAAAAACTAATGAACCTCCAACAGCGAATTTGAATTCCGATAATTCAGAGCATAATCTGACGCTCCCTCCATGCGATATCGACTCTTTCGTAGGGGATTATGTTTCATGGCCCGCTTTTAGGGATTTATTTACCGCAATTTACATTAATAGCTCGCGGCTTAGCAATATAGAACGTCTTTGCCATTTAATACGGAAAACCGAGGGTGAAGCTAAAACAATCGTTTCAAGATATCCATTAAATAATAATAGTTTTGAGTTAGCTTGGCGCGATTTAAGGAATACATATGAGAATCCTCGTATGTTGGTGCATAACCAACTAAAGCTTTTATTTAGTCTTCCTGCCTTTGACAAGGAGTCGATCACAGCACTCAAAACCTTACAGAGCGGAATCGATAGTTTTCTTACGGCACTTTCTATTTACAATGTGCCTACAGATAATTGGGACCCAATTATCGTGTTTATGTGTATTCAACGTCTACCTAGTTCAACAATTATTTTATGGGAACAGGGCATTAAGGACAAATTAAGTTTATCTTCATGGAAAGATTTAGATAATTTTCTGAAGGAAAGAATTCTGACTTTGCAATGTCTTCAAGAAATTAAAGGTACAAACTCCACTAATATGGAATCTTCATTGCAATCTCACAATTCTTCCGTTAAAATTTCTTGTATTTTATGTCCTAATCAGTCCCACTACTTGCGAAATTGTCGTCGTTTTAAAAGTCTTTCAATATCTGATAGAATTTCAACGGTGAATGAGCATAACTTTTGCACTAATTGTCTTTCGAGGACACATACCGCCAGAAGTTGCAAAATCAATAATAATTGTTATATATGCAATAATCGACATCACTCGATGCTTCATTTACAACATTTAGAAAATTCTGTGGTTGAAAGACCTACTGTTTCTACGGAACAGAACTCTGGTGCGGTTCTACGACCTACTAACTCCCACTACCAACAATCACATACGTCCAATAATGTAACGCCCAATTCACAAGTATTTCATACTAGTCAAAACCAGTCTGTTCTATTAGGCACAGCTACGGTAAATATAATTCATAATAACAATAAGCATCAGGTCCGCGCTTTAATTGATTCGGGTTCGGAATGCTCTTACATTTCTGAACGATTACGGAAAAGGTTAAAACTTCCCACGCATTCTGCACACGCTCAAGTTTCTGGCATCAATAATGTAGTTATTGGAGTTTCTAAATATTGTCCTGTGGAAATTGGTTCCGATTTAGACTCTTCAGTAAACCTTAGTACAAACGCATTTGTTTTACCAAAAATTTCAGGAAATTTGCCTTCAACTTCCGTAAATATCGATATTAAAAAGTTATTGCCAAATCTTCGTTTGGCGGATTCTAATCTTTTAGATAGCAGGCCTGTAGATATTCTTATTGGTGCGGATTTATATCATCGTATAATTTTACCGGAAGTACAGCAAAATATATTAGGGTCGTTATTGGCACAAAAAACTGTATTTGGCTGGATTCTGACAGGACCAGCCAATCCTAGGGACTTTGAATCACATATCGCAAATTTACAATACACTACGTGGTCTAACGCTTCTTAACGTTTGTTTGAATATCACTTAAAATGCTCACAAGAATATATTTACGTCTACCTTATTATACATACTAAATTTAAATACACCACTTTGTGGTTGGGTCATTTATGACCATGCCCCTCTTTAAGGGGCCCAGTTCATGGTCTGCTTAAAACCATTCTCCATTTGAGAGCAGTATGTAGTCTGCGGAAAACTACATCCCATAGGCTTTGTCCTATGGGAACCCTTTTTCTACGAACCCAGTTCATGGTCTGCTTTAAAACCATTCTCCCTTTGAGAGCAGTATGTAGTCTGCGGAAAACTACATCCCATAGGCTTTGTTCTATGGGAACCATTATTTTACCAGCCCAGTCTGGTGTGATACCTTTGATCACTTGTTTTATGAAAAAAAAAAATATTAACAAAAAAAAAAATAAATTTAAATTTATAGATATAGATCTCAATGTTAATTGCAACACTCTTTAGTGTTGCAAGGTGGCCGGCAATGTTCAAGTTCGATTTATGGTTTACACTTGTTTTGATAACATATGCAAATACTATTTTTTGCAACGTTAGAATCTTATTAAGCTCCGCTTTATTTACAACTTTGTTGGAAAATTCTAACGAGTAAACCGTTAACGGTACCTAAATATTGTTTGCCACCAATCTACGTTTTGTAAATTAAAAAACACTTCTTTTCTGATCGTCAACATAAGCACTACGTGCTCTTGGCGTTATTGCTTCTACGAGGTAAAATAATAATAATAAATAAATACAGAGAGATCTACGTCTCATTAAATTTGCAAATATTTTGTTTTATTTTCATAAAATCTTGGGAAATTGTGGTGGAGCTGAACACATGGTATGAGGATACCTAAACTCTCTTCTCCATTCTAGTGAAATTTTTTCGATGGAGACTCATGTAGTTCAGGAGTTTTTTTATACAAACTCATATGAAAAATTAAACAAACAGAAAAAATATACATTAGTATAAATTTTAATTTATATGGTAAATTACATTGTATCTCATAAAAGACAAGTTTAGCATGAAAAAGTCATAACTCTTGATTAAAATTACTTAGAAAGATCAAAATTTGTATGAATATGTGACTTGTTATGGAGCGATCTTATGCTAAAAATTGGCGGATTTGATTGGGTGAGCGTGGCAATTTTCATACAAAATTAACTGATATAATGCGAGATACTAGTGTTTAAAGTTAAATTATTGACCTTCAAAACATATTCTGAAGGGGACTTTGTATGGGGGCTAGGGTCAAATAAATCCCGATGATTACGAAAATGAGCAGTATCAACCAGACTTATATATATGTGTCAGGGATGGGGGTAGTGCACTAAATATTTAGTTAAATCAATATTTCACTAGCACTAAATATTATTTCAAAAAATATATTTTTCACTAATTTTCATCATCTTAGTGGTAGTGAAGCTTATATTTTTATCACTAATATTTTTTAGTGATAATTTTATTTTTTTAGCTATAACTCAATTTAGTGATAGTGTAGAAAAAAGCTCTACACTCAAATAGTTTAAAATTTGAACAGTCACTAACAAAAGGCTGCAATAATTTTCTTTGCACTAATTTTTTTAAATGAAAATTAATGAATTTCTAAGACAATAAATGATAAAATTCTTTAAAAGCTACATCTATTAAAATGGAAAATACAGATTTTGATAGCGATGACACTTTAATGGACCCTACAGAAGCAGTTACTCTTTTTTCATGCTTTAAAAAGAAATGAAACACCTGAATTCCAAAACTGTTCCAGTAGAACGATTATTTTCTTTGAATGGAATGGTGGACTCTCCTCGGAGAAATAAATTAACAGGTCGATTATGTATCTCGATTGCCACTTTAGCTGCGTTGATGTGGCTAAAGCATGATTTTATTAAGCAATAGCTTGGAAACTTTGTAAATAATGAAAGTTTTATTCATTGACTTGAACCATTTCTAGACTGACCTATTAACTTAAACTTTCAATTTAGTATAACATTTCTCCGTTGAAAAAAAAATAGTGCAGGAATATTTTTTGAACTAATTATTTAGTGTAGAAACAAATATTTCACTAGGCTGTAAAAACAAATGTTTTAACTATTTTTAAAATATTTTTAGTTAAAAATTTTAAATATCACTATCACTATCATGAAGTAAGGTGAGAGTGTTTCGGCAACAAACACAATATTTTTTGTTGCCTAGAGTTGGGTTTTGTCAAAATGAAATTTCTAAACATTGGAAAGAAATATTTTTTGTGTATTTCACAATATTACCTATAAAACCGTCGTTACATTTAGCTTGTATCTGCAGCAGGACAATGTTTTAATGCTTCTTCATCAGAGTTTTCTTATTTGAAAACTTTTTATGAACATTTTAATTCATAAATTTAAATTTTAATTTTTTTTGCTTTGAAAACACAAATATAATTTTTTTTTAGAATAAAAATAAATTAATTTATTTAGACACAACCCAAGCACTTTTTTAATAAACAAATAAAAATCAGCTGCCTTAACGATTTCACCTTACTTAGTGCATGCTGATCACTATTGTTGATTGAGGCTTAGGTATATTTTTCAATTCATCACTAAACCCAGCAAAAAAAATTTGAAGTTGTTAAAGAAGAAGGGATATTTTCATGATTTCTTTTGTACGTATTCTATTTAATGCGTTTTAAATACATGCCTAAATTCTAATAAGTTTTTCATCAGTGAAGGCATGAAAAATACACCCAAATTCACTCATGTAAGTCCACTATAGGAATTGTAATATTTTACTATAATTTGGTATTCTCTTAGGAGATTTAACGAAAACGTGCATTTCATACAATAAATATTAAAAATGACATTAATTTTTTATTAGATTTTTGTTTTTGTAGGTACCTACCTATCTAGTAATATTAAGTCCATTTTAACATTAATAAGAGAAGGAAAAAAACAAGACTGCTTAACGGATTTTAAAACACAATGGGTATTTTTCCTCTGCATGAATTTAAATCCAATAAAAATCAGTTAGTTATGTTTTATCTTATTTTATTTTTATCAATATCACGCAAAAAAAATATTTAAATATTGATAATTAAATCGAAATACCATTATTAATGCATTTTTAAATAAATATAGTGCACCGATGAAAATTCGCTTGAGAATCATCGAATATTCATTGGTTATAAGAACTCATTTAAATGACGAACTATTTTTCCAAATACGAACACATGCATGCCAATGACACGCTAATGTTAAAATCATGCATGTTTCTCCTAAATATGAACCAGTTCATTATCAGTTCAACCCATGCATTTACTACTTTTTTTGCACGTCTTTTTTTGCTGGGAACTTAAATAAAAGTAGTGAATAATTTTAAACTACCAGTAATTATTAGTGATAGTTAAAAATTAGTGCACTACCCCCATCTCTGATATGTATATAAAACTAAGTTGTGCTAATTTTTGTAGATATATTAAAATGTTTAACATAATTCTAAGCTCAAAAAGTTTATTCGGGGGTACGGTTATATGGGGGATAGGTGAAATAATGGACTGACTTCGTCCTTGGGTCAATATAAGAGTATGTCCCAAATTTCACAAAATTATCTTGGTAATTGCTATATGTAGCATCGCACAAGGTTTTCACTGACGCACAGACGGACGGACAAACGGTCATATTGGAGATTATGAACCGATTGGAATACTTTAAGGTGGGTGTTGGACCAATATTTTTGGAAGGTCGTCCGCACTTCGACGTTGACGATCCGTCAACATTTTTTCGTCCAAATTTTCCTTAGTAGGAAGAACAAAAGATTCATGCAATCAACTTTTAAAGAAAGTCTCGAATACTCTCCTTGTTCAATGTACATGGTACCATTTTTTCGACAATCCACAAATCCAAAAAATTGAAAATTTTCAATTACTTGCAACAGTTTGATGTGTCTGTGGGCTTGTGTGAGCAGATTTTACAATAGGTTTGTATGAATTCGTGTAGAAAGAAGCTAAAATTGGCTGCATGGAAGCATTTACGGCTGCCAATTTTCAACGACTTTCTATATTAAAAAAATCTGTATTTTAATGTTTATAGGTATCATTATTTTTATATAATTTTTTTGCACTCCGCAGGTCAATGCTCATCATTTTAAAAGTTCCAACAAAAGTTTGTACTACAGGACAGATTAAATTTATTTTATGTGCTTTTACTTACACTAAAATCTTTGCTGTATTAATATTAGATTTAACTCTGTAGTCCAGAAATACCGTTGAAACAAAACAACAAAATGTTAAGCAGGCTAATACTGATAAAGTATACGCAATTGTGGCATTTCCTCTAGTTAAAACTGTATGCATTTTATTAATCCTTGAGTTTTTTTTTAATTTTTTAATCCTTAAGTTTTTAAGTATTAATTTTTAAATGACACGTATCAGCAAGAGAGCCCTGCGCCGACAAATATTAACGGCGGCGGCGACTGACACTAAATATGTCGGCGGCGGCTTAAAATCGACTGTAAGCCGGCTAAGTTTTCAACTACGTTTAGTTTTTAAATTTTCAACGTCTTTAGATAAAAACGGAATCCGAGAGATTAAAAATTGGGATTTTGGAAGCAAATATTTTAAAAATCGGGATTGTCGACCAACGTAGGGACCAGTGTACACTAAACAGGTATATGCAATCGAACAGCTGATAATTTTTTTGTTTTCTTATTTGCATACCTTCTCTGTCAAAATATGTTTTTATTTATTTGAAACAAAATAAAATTTTAATAATAAAAAAAATTTTAAATGTTTAGTTTGTAAAAAAAATAATATTTTTTGCACAAAAAATACATTTCAACCATCTTCCTCATTGCGCCCTTTGTAAGGTCCTCTGTCTTTAGCCAAACTTCATCCGTTTAGAATAGAACTTTAATGGCACAAATCAGGTCATTCCAGATATCAATTATCCCCCGTATTGCACACGTTGCGAAGGCTGTTTTCTTTAGCCACACTTTGGTAGCCACAACACAACTTTATGGGCACAAATCAGGCCAATTTAGATATCAACAATCCTTAGTATTGCGCCCGTTACCTGGCCCACTTTCGTTTGCCAAACTTGTTTAGTGTACCTGGTAGGCACTTTTTGTATTCCTGCACACTATTTTATGTAGTTCTCTCGTTATACAACACATTTTCACGAGATTTATTTTTAAACTCCCGAGAACTATGTACTTTTATTTCAACTCTTCATTTTTATACCGTTCGTACGAAGGGTATAATAAGCTTGTCATTCCGTTTGTAATTTCTTTAATATAATTTTTCGACCCTATATAGTATATATATTCTGGATCCTTATAAATAGCGGAGCCGATTGAGCCACGTACATTGAAATCAATTTTCTGAAGACCCCAGATATCTCCGGTATCCAAATTTTCAATAATTCTGTCAGACATGCTTACATAAATGAGAATTTGTGTGCATGAAAACAACCAACAACATGCAGCTTATTATGATATACAGTGCAACTCGACAATCCGGACACATACATACATATAGTTTTAGGCACGTCTCTTCTTACCACACTTCACTACACTTGTTTATAATTTTTTATACCCTTCACCTTCGTGAGAAGTTTGTCATTCCGTTTGTAATTTCTAAAATATAATTTTCCGACCCCATAAAGTATATATAGCGGAGTCGATTAAGCCATGTCCGTCTGTCTGTCTGCCTGTCCGTCTGTTGAAATCAGTTTTCTGAAGACCCCAGATATCTTCAGGATCCAAATCTCCAATAATTCTATCAGATATGTTTTCGAGAAGTTTCCTATTTAAAATCAGCAAAATCCGTTCATAAACAACGGAGATATAAGCAAAAATTCGAGACAACCTCTGAAAATAAACAACAACACTGCTTATTCATTGCCTTTGTATTTTGTTTTTTTTTTTTTTTGAGTATTTCGTTTCGTATGTTTGGATGGCTGTGTGTTTCATTGCCTTGTGTATATTGTTTTTGTTTTCTTGGTGTATTGAATTTCGTATGTTTGGATGTTGTTGGTTTCATTGCGTTGTGTATTTTGTTTTTTTCTGTATTTCGTTTCGTATGTTTGGATGTCTGTTGGTTTTACTGCCTTGTGTATTTTGTTTTTTTTTTTGGGTGTTTATTTCGTTTAGCGTTGTTGTTGTTCATTATGTTTTGCTATTGTTATAATAATGATATAGTCGGGAAAATTAATTTTTAAATACACTATGGTGAAGTGTATATAAGATTTGGCACAGCCGAATATAGCACTCTTACTTGTTTTAATTGTATATTTTAATAAATTTAAGGCAAAATTATTTATATTTTTCAAGAACTGATGTAATATTTTTTTCTATACCGTTAAAGAAAATTAAATTGCAGGGTTACCAACTTTTATAATACAGATTCGAGTTTTTCAAGAAATTGTTATTTCTACACATGAAACATATTTGGAAACCTTAAAAAGGGAACAACTACGTCATCTAACGATAAATAATGCACAAGGCATAATCTTTATTTTATCATTCTTGATACATATGTATGTATGTACTATGATTTATTAAAAAACATTAAATTTTTATATATGCATAAAAGAATTTGACCTTTGCTTTTAAAAATTCTGATGAAATCGGGATATGATTGTTTCTTTGCTGCAAAACCCATGTGTAAAGGTGGAAGTACACAACACGCGTTTAGGCGGCAACGCGTTTTACGCTTTTCAATCTTTTCACGCTTTCAAGCTGCAATTTACACTCCACGCGTCATTCTGATCTTTCTTTTAATGTTTTTTAAGAATATTACTGTTTTAAAAAATCTAAATTTTAAGTTTTTGTTTATATTTTAATATTTTTCTTTCATTGTTGGTGAAATTTATTTCATTTTAGTTCATTCTTATTCTACACAAAAAAAGTACACCCTAATAATTACATTATTATACCCTTCACCTATAACAGAGACCGAAAATAATTATTTTTGAATTTTTAAGTAACAAAAGCAACCACAAGAAAATATCGGAGAACAACATCAAGTGTAAAATTTTGATCGTCGTGAACTAAATTAAATTTTCGCTATAGAATCGTTTATTTTCCAATAATCAAAAAATAACTTTTTAACTGCTCGAAAAAGAACTTTTATTTCTGCTCAAAGAAATAAAAGTCAAAAAGAAAATTATTTCTGCTCGAAAAATAAAAATTTAAAAGTAACTTTTATTTTTGCTCAAAATAATAAAAATCAAAAAATAACTTTTGTTTATGATCGAAAAAATAATCCTAACCTGCCCGAAAAAATAAAAGTCAAAAAACACTTTTATTTCTGCTCAAAAAAAAAAAAGTAAAAAAATAACACTTAGGGCCAATCTTTAGGTGATTAGCTAATTTTGTTTTCAAGTTTAAGCTCCCAATGGAGGTGGTTTAAACTTAAGCACGAAATGCAAAAGTGTAAACAGCTGATGCAAAAAAATTAATACAATTTTTATAAATATAAACATTAAAATGTTTTATTTATTGATTAGTATAAATTATGGAGACTTCAAAATAAATATTTTTGTTTTTAATTTAAGTTTTCATTAATTTTCATATTAAATTTACAAGTGTCTTCTTCTTTTTTATAAAATATGCATTGTTTTGATAACAAACAGTAACGTTTTCTGTTGTTTTGTATGGCAACACTGCGAAGTTTAATCTTGTACTCAAAAACATCAAAGTTTTGTCGAAAAAAGTCGAAGTCGACTATTTTGTTCGATAACTCGACTATCGTCTGTGAAAAAAGTCTAAAAGTCGACTTTGTTAATAAAAACCGAAAAGTCTGAAAGTCGACAAAAGTCGATAAGTCGAAAAGTTGAAAATAGTCGAAAAGTCGGAAAAAGTCGAAAAATTGTAGAAAAAAAGTGGAAAAAAAGTCAAAAACTCTAAAATAGTCGGAAAACCTCGAAAAAAGTCAAAAAATAGTCGAAAAAAGTCGAAAGACGTCGAAAATAGTCAAAAAGTCGAAAAAATCGAAAATTCGGAAAAAGTCGAAAAAAGTCGAAAAGTCGGAAAAAGTCGAAAAGTCGGAAAAAGTCGACTATTTATAAAATACTTATAGTCGAAAAGTCGACTTTTAATTAAATGAAAAAAGTCGAAAAGTCGAAAAATCGACTTTTCATAAAATGCAAATAGTCAAAAAGTCGACTTTTAACGAAATGAAAAAAGTCGTAAAGTCGACTTTCCGTTTCAACTATAGAACCCTAATTATTAATTGGCATTTGATTGACGCACATAAAGAAAACAACCCGACGAAAAATAAAACAATTCGTAACAGCTGTTTTATCAAAATAAACTTTTTTTTTGGTGTGGTGAGTTTTTTCTTGTTTACAAATATTTGTTTCTGCACGTGAAAAAGACGCAAAAACTCGTTTTCATTATTTACATTTTCAATATGTGTTTATGCACGTGGAAAAGATTCAAAAAAATTGATTTTCATGATTTACTTTAACAAAAATTTTTTTTGATCAAATAAAATATGTATATAAATGTGTAAAGGAACAAATCTGATAAAATATAAATATATTTGGGATTATATCGTTACAGAATGCCTTTTAATAAAAAAACATTCAAAAAATGTTACTATGGTCATATATAGAAAATGATATATAAATGCTATCGGACGATCTTGTGCACGATAAAAACCAATATAGAACTTTAAGTTGGAAGTGTAGAAATCGGATGGCATACATTTTTTTCCTGATTTCATCGTTCTAGGGTGTGTACTACAACAACAAACTTTTTTTTTACAAAAAATGTTACTATGGCCGTATATATAAAATGATATATAACTGCTATCGTACGATCTTGTGCACGATAAAAACCTATATAGAACTTTAAGTTGGAAGTGTAGAAATCGGATGGCATACATTTTTTCCTGATTTCATCGTTCTAGGGTGTGTACTACAACAACAAACTTTTTTTTTACAAAATATGTTACTATCGGACGATCTTGTGCACGATAAAAACCTATATAGAACTAGCTATAACTAGCTTAAAAAATGTGTAGCTATAAAATTCGATATAACAACTTTTATATGAAACAAAATTTATCTGTTGAATTTTGTAAGGGTCGGTCCACAGTTGACCCTACCTAAAATCGCAAACAGATTATGCCATCCGATTTCTACAATTCCAACTTAAAGTTCTACATATATTTTTATCGTGCACAAGATCGTCCGATAACAGTTATATATCATTTTATATATACTTCCATAATAACATTTTTTGTAAAAAAAAAGTTTGTTGTTGTAGAACACACCCTAGAACGATGAAATCCGGAAAAAAATGTATGCCATCCGATTTCTACACTTCCAACTTAAAGTTCTATATAGGTTTTTATCGTGCACAAGATCGTCCGATAGCAGTTATATATCATTTTATATATACGGCCATAGTAACATTTTTTGTAAAAAAAAGTTTGTTGTTGTAGTACACACCCTAGAACGATGAAATCCGGAAAAAAATTTATGCTATCCGA